ATCTTTATTCGTCAAATGTTTACAAATCCGCGCGACGGTTTGTCTTTGAATTTCTCTATTCCGCGGGGAAAATGAACAAACGTTTTTTTACCCAGCCACGTTTGTTCGTTTTCATGCGAACCGTGTATCCGTGACAGGAAACAGTAATCGATGTTTGCTTCCTTCCTCGCGAGAGTAGGAATAAAAAAAAAAAAAAATCGGTCAGTTTACAGTTCGATTACACTCGTACTGTAACTGGGACGATAGTTGAATTTGTTGTCCGTAAGAGGAAATAACTGGTAAAATTTGTCCCGCTCGTTGGAGTTCCTCGGAGAAGCGTTATCAGCTGTAGAGCAAACATGCAAATGAAAGGCCAATCAAAATTCGCAGTCGCGAGACTATTCTATTAGCCGGTTCCAAGGCACCCGAGAGATGGTAAATAATTCTCTTCGGAAAGTTCGAAATTCGCCAAGGAGGCGAATAATTCACGAATATCCGTCGTACATTATATAAGTTACCGCGCGAAAATTCGCCAACGCTGATTAAAACTTCCGTGTCTCGCGGATGTGTTACACAGCGACTTCGCCTTGGGCAAAAATTAGAGAAGAAACTCTGTACGACGCGTCTGTACGAAGATGTGGGAACAGAGAGAGGAATAAATCTACACTCCCGGGAGTCGAATCGAAAAGAGTAAACATTTCGAGCACTCAGAATCTTTCGAAGCTTGGATAAAGTTGACCCTTTACTCTTCCTATCGTTGTATTTTACTTCCTTCTTTTCTACTTTCCTCGGACTTTTTCTGTCTGTGTACAGCGTACACTTTATGGATTACGTATACCCAGAGGCTTAAACGTTATAATACGACGATATGTTCTAGCGATGTTTAAAACGGTATTTCTATCTTACCAATTTTTCACGTATTACTGTTCTGTACCGAGAACGATGTATCGCCGCGATTTAAAAGATTGCATAGAACGAAAACTCGACGTTGCTTCGTCATTAAATGATACGAATCGCGAACACCAACTAATTGCTGCAGCGATAATTTCGCGAGGTAGATTTATTTGTTTTTTTCTTTATGAAATGGCAGGAAAAATTCCAAGTAATTATACGTATGGAACGATTACAGTTTTATGTATAGGTGAATATTATTCTCACCTACTGTTTCAATGGTTTACATTCTCCCTGTAATTTTTTCCCTGTTGCCTAGCTATAAATTGCAAATCGATAACGTGTATGTGGAAATGTTAAGTATTTGGAACGCATTAACTGTACAAAGTCGCAGTCTTTTAACGTGATTTAGAAAAAAAAGGATAAATGAGTTTATGAACTCTTCTGAAATGTATCTATTCGAAAAGAGATGTATTTTAGAATGCTACGAAAGTGTATGAAATATTCTACGAAAACACACTTAAGAAAGTAACTTTGTTTAGAGGACATTTCACGTTTACTCCTGTTTATAAATAGCTTTTCTAGATACTTATTTTAAAACACCTTGTACATACTATGCCAATGAAAATATAATGACTGAATTCGATAACTATAACCTTATGTATAAATTTACAAATCAAGGTTATAACCGATGACAAGCACTGAAGAAAGTGGCGCCATATGTAGATGTCACTAACCTTCGGAAAACTTTAATTTTTACCTTACGTAGATGTTCCGATCGATACTTGAATATATAAGCGTATGAGAAACTTTCGTATGTAAAGACAGTTGAAATAGCCATACCGAAAATATCGATTTTAATAGCGTTTTATTTATAGATTTTTTTTTATATAAAACAATTCATTCGTTGTTAACACAACCGTATTATATTTCTGTATCGCATTGGCTAATATAATTAAAAAAATGATTTGCTACAAGTTTTTCAATTTTTTTTTTCATTGAATAACTTCAATGTATAATATCAATTAAAACTATCTGTTTATTATACAAAGTATCAACAGATTACTAATTATAAAGCAAACACATGTTTACAAATTGAACTAATTTACATATGAAATTGTAGTAATTGTAGTAATTGCACGTGAAATTACAATTACCTCACGTCAGCAAGTAATACTTCTTTTTAAATAGAATTTCAGAGAACACAAGCTTTACTGCCTTCACGTTTAAATCGTTTAAACTGAAACTAAACAGTATTCAGATAAATTTCACAAGTTAAAATATAAATTCCATTGATATGCAACCACCTTAAAGTTCTCGATTCCAAGATAGTTCCGTTTTCTCACGTTTCAGATTCGATAGTATCAATTGGCATCGATATATTGTTCGTATTCTCCAACGGTCGCTAGTTTTCGGTTTTCTTTCAATTCGAACGGTTATTTAAAGCGTACGTTAAGAAATATATCGCGAAAGTTTAATATGTTTCATATGTAAATTCGACCCTTACAAAACGTGTGTAATACACGGTGAAAGTGAACATTCGTGTGCATCGTGAATGATCTTTATTTCAACGTTAAACTTTATTCACTTTCGCTCCCACCACCCCGATCTGTACTCGAATGGCGTGAACCAACGTCACTGCCTGAAACTGATTTTCTCGATTCTGGGGTAGCAGATCTGGAACAAAATAATCGCAACGCATAGTTGGACAGGGACATCGAAGCTGCACACTTAAGGTAAGTACATTTTAATTATATTTA